AGTGGGCTTATTGAATGCGATGTGGCCTATACAATGACTTGCGGTGGCCAGCCGATGTACAAGTCAGTGTTTTATCCTCCCAGACGAATCTGGTACCAATTTACCGTCCCCGAGGGTAGAAGGCTTGGTTGGCCTGGGCGGGAGTCGACCCGGGATTCGAACCCGGCGCCGCGCGAGTGGTAAGCGCGCCACTTGTCACTACACCACCTCCGCCCTTATTGATATTATGTTATATTAATATTGTATTATTATATTTTATTAGTATTATATTATTATATATTAATTTATGTATTTTATATATTAATTCACGGATTTATGATTTATAACCGACTAACGCTTTCGTGTGGCTGCGGACTTTCTCCGCGCAAACGGTGGAACCGTAGGCCTCTGAAGACGACGAACCAGTCGAAACGTTAGGCCTTATTTACTAATAAAGGTTCCACCTAACAACCTCGTGAGGCACAGAAGAATTAATCACTTACACTTAACATGCCGAGGTTGCAAGAAGAGAGAAGCTGGAAAATTTTTTCAGGATGTGCTACTGAGACGCAAGGGAGAATGAGTTTTTAATCAGCAATGAATGTACAAAAAATAGTAACACAAAACGCTGAGAACTTTCCGGACAACCTAATATCTACTGCAAAAAAGAAAAACGGGAAACGCAAAAACGCCAGCGCAAAACTCGAAACAGAAGGAAATCACCAATAATTCAGCTAGCGAACGAAGACTACGGTAGCAGTTCTTTTCGAGCTTTTCCACCAGAATTCTGCATCATTGATGGTTTGAACAAGACTTACCTTGAGAAATGGGTTGCTGTTGATTGTATATGCTCCTAATGAAGAAAATTACATAAAAGAGAGCAGAGCTCTTACTTACTACTGTTACCTATGAGCACGAGAGGGATGGATGTGATGAGGACGTGCGCTGGGTAGAACTAGCAGTTGTTAAAATTGGAACTTTCGGCGGCTTAGCACCGCCCGCGCCGCAAAACTGGGACAGTCTGGGACACTTGCATAAGGAAGGACGAGTACGAATTGTTTGAACACAGGAACTGCC